AAAGATGAAGAGTAAAATAGTATGAATAATGATGAAGACTGTTTCCTTTTGGAAAACAAGCACATAGAAAATTCAGTTGGTTTATATTTATTTGCTGCATATTGCTCACATATGTACACTCTGATTAACTCCAACTGATTAGATAGGTCTCTGAAGAATTTTTTGGGTTTTTGTCAGAATGAAAATTCACAGTGATCCTGTTCTCTAAAATTCCATGGCCAAATAATGAAGATATTTATCTATATGTCAGACAATTAGCTGCTATTCCATGTATGCCAAACTATAAAATACATAAAACAATAAAGCACCTAAAAAGCACATTTGACAACCGCTCTGCTCACTGGTTTTGTTGTCTAGCTCAGTGAGCTTTTGATCCTTCTCTTGTACATAAAGACACATTTAATTGCATATACAAAAAATGGACAACTACGCAAAACAAATATAACTCACAAAACAACCTTTAACTCTTCAATAATCTATTCCCTGAGCAAGATTGTGGAAATACTTTCAATAATATTGAGCTTTGCTGTGCTAGTCTGTGAAGGCTGTGAAAGGAGAAAAGGGAGAGAAAAGGAAAAAGGAAAAAAGGGAGAGAGATGTGTCTTTAAAACAAATGGGTTTGGACCTTTGTCTCAAAACTGATCAGAAACAGAAAACGTTCTGCTATATTAAGAGCACTCCTTTTACAGTTTTTTCCCACAAGAAATATCTTTTTCCTGGAAAAAGCTCCTAGGCAGCTGGCAGATGAAGCCAACTGTTAGGCTTTCAAAAGGAGGAACCACCTCTCCAGTCAGTTGCATAGACAGAGCAGTACTAGGGCTCAGCAAGCTGTAAGAGCAGTTTTTTCCACCATTTGCTTTCCCAGATTGTTTCTTCTTTATAAGATTCAGAACATTCCCCTATTGCTATGGATTAAAGCACACAAAAACAAAAGTAAATTTTCAGTCACAAAATTATCTGGTGTGAAGAATGGAGACAAGTGAATACAAATACTTACCCACCTTGACCTGTAACTCGTGGATTTTGGTAGTTTGAATATGAAATGTAAAACATCTTGCAAAGGAAAGGATTACTGATCTTGTTTATGCTTATGACAACCTTGAAGAATATACTATCTGGCAAATAAAAAATTCTTCCCCATGCTTGTCCTGAAAAAAATAGAGCCTCCTGGACATTCTGAAACTCTGACAGTTAACTGAGAGAGAAAAAAATCCAAAGTATTTTACATAACAGTTTCACTGGAATTGTGGGGATGCTGTGGCAATTGTAGTAAGAAGTCAAATACCAGAACTTTTAGTTTTGTTACAGTAGCACGTTCAGCTATTGAATTAACTAGATAAACAGGAATAAGAAAAAAAAAAAGTTCAGTGCTTACACAACATTTTTAATTCAGCTCTATTTCTATCTACAGTTGCAGGATAACTGCAGATAAAAGGACTGCTTCATATTTCAGTTTTGCAACAGAATCAACAAAAGCATGCATGTGAGCAAGCTTGCTCTGCAGTTGATTCCTTTTTAAGTTCATGTGCTTCTAAGTGCAAAAGCTAGCCTGAAATACATGCCTACTGATACTTGAAAGCCTTTAAAAAAATATTTTTATTCTAACTTTCTGGCCATAGCCATACAAACACATCCAGTACAGCTATATGCACCCCTGAATTTGAGGGCATTTACTATCACACGTTTGTTTGGCAATTTTCACATAGTCATAACCATGTTAAATCAAATCCAACTGATTGCAATGCTAAAATGCTCAGAAGCCCCACAGCGAAGCATCTTTACATTTGGGAATTGTTAATGTGCGGTATAAACATTTTGCCTTCCAAAGCCACCATGTATACCACAATGTCAAAAGCAGTATAATGTACACAGAAACACACACATGCAGACATCTCTACAGATTATTTTCTAGTGTATTTTTACATGAGTGTAACCACTGTGCTGGGAGATGTAGGACAAGGGGAGATCCCTATTCCCCTTCACAAATATACTGCTGTTTTAATTGAGAAAATATGTTGTGCAGGAACAGTAAAAGAACACTTTCAGCCATCAGTTTAAAAATTGTACTATATGGTCTTGCAAGGGTATTTTTTTTGTGTGTTACAGGCTGGTGAGAAGGGCAATACATATTTTCAGCATGAAAGCTTCAAATTCCATGAATGAACTTCTATTGCCCAGCTTCTTTTCTGAAAGAGCCAAGTTGTTATGCACAGGAAAGAATAAACAAAGTAAATTTGGTACTACAAGAAATATCAGCTTAATATTTCTTTCCTCCAGAGGAGCTGAGGTGAGAGTAAATGCAAGTAACAAGCAATGCTGGTATAAGGTAAGGGCTTGAATAACTCCTCCAAAGATTAATACAAAGCAGCTAGTATGGCTACATAATAGCTGTTGCATTTGTCTCACATATATGACCATGTATCTGTGCTAATATGATACTGAAGCCAAAAGCAAGTGTTTGAAAATAAGACCCAATTCTGTACAGCCACTACCATGCAGCTGAGCTTAGCATAGCCTTTGTACAGATGGAGAAAAGGACCCGTAAAGCTGGAGGAAAGCTTAACTAAAAAAAAACAAACAAGTAATTTTTAAGAAGAAAAAATAATTGCGAAAGAATAAAAAATCTTGCTTGCTGGACCTCTGTAAAACCCTACTCTTGCATTTATTTTGTGATACAATCATGAGACAAGCAAAGACAACCTCACAGAGTCAGAACTTTCCCTTGCTATGTTTACAACACAGAAATGCGGCCTTTTCCTCACACACACAGTGTGGAAGGTGCAGTGGCTTGCCCTTGTCTGGGAGCTGCCAGCTATGCTGTCTGACATGGGGAAGCAGGAGGAGGAATAGGGGCATGCCTTCTAGTAGTTATAAGTTTGCAACTCCACATATGGAGTTTGGCATCAACAGGTAAACAGAGAAAAGCCACAGGTACAAATGTCCTCATTTTCCCAGGTCAGATTTCTCACTAGTTGTACACAGTTAGAAAAGAACTCTGAAGAATACATCTAATTAATTGCACAGAACCTGTGCTGCTTTTTCCATTAACAAAACAGTTAAATAATCAGAGGGAAGGAGTGAGGGATGATATAAAAATCTGCCTTGTACTGCAAAGATAAGCAATACCTCTGGAGGAACACATCATATTGGATAAATGTTGAAGCAGTGATGGATGAACCTGAATTCTTTTAGAGGCTGCGTCTAATCATCTACCAAAAGCACCTCCACATTAGCACCAAAAATCAGTGGTCAAATGTGCTTTCCATTTCCTGCAACATGAATCACAAGTTGTCCCTAACCCTTGTTTCCTTATGAGGTAGGGGCAGGCAGTGGTGGGGGTTTATACTGTGCTAGCAGTAAGACACTGTCATCATAACACAGGGAATCAACCATTCTATTATGCACAAAGAGAAAGACATTTTCTTTTGTCTTAGTGCATTTATTATTTTATTATACTGAAACACAATGCCCTTTTTACCCAGAGAATAATTGACAAATGCATTATTTCCCAATTCATTGCCACAAAGCTAGAATGAGTTAAAACGTGCCTGAAAAATCCTGTTAAGCCATTATGACCTGCTGGTTTTACTGTTAAATTTCAAGCAGTTAACAAGTCCATTACTCACTGTACCATATACTCTAAGCACAGATGAACAGCAAAGCAGCCTGTCCCCTGCATCTATCTACTCTGCCTAGCATATGGAATGCAAATGTTCACAGTATAAGCAGATAAACGCACTGTAATTCCCACATGAAGATGCATCTAGAACCTACCCATGTGGTTTGTCTTTCCCTACCAGAAGTTTTTTGGCTATTAATTACATTAGTGGTGATTATTAATCAGAGACACAGCTTACTAGAGATCTTCAGTAACTGGCAGAAACATTCCTCTACAGTGAAATACAGAGACTGATAATGACTTATCAGCCTCTATATGTACTACCGTCAGATACTACTATTTTTATTTTGCAAGACAACTGTAACATGTTTCAGAAAAATATATGCAGATTTCAGAAATCTAATCACAGCATTTTGCGGTATATTTTGACAATCGAATTGAAAGAAGAGCTTCTCCACTGTATTGTACACAATTTAAGAAGGCCACATAAATCTAACAGGCTTTAGATTGCTAAGTCAAAATTCCAATGGAGGCAACAATGAAATATAACCAGCTAGACCTTAAAAGCACAGGTGTTTCCTGTGCCCTGCCACATAGGTCTTGCTAACCCAATCCCATGACACAGAAAGGTTTTTCCTTCCACATGCTGTAGAAAACAGGATTCAACACTAAGTGGCTTGAGCAGAAAAGCACATGCAATGCATTCTCATACAACTTGCCACAGTCTGTGGAAAATACTGTGTGTACAAGAGCATGAAGACTGCGTGAAGTGTTTAAAGTCCGCATTGCTGCTGATCAGCTATAGTATACTTCAGAAATCGGTAAGTAATGCCTCTGACCGGAGGTACCTTGACTGCTGCTATCACAAATAATATGAAGCTATATGAGGAGAAGAATTTAAAAAAAAAAAAATTTAGCAAAAACTTCCACAGTTTGAAGTTTATACTCCCAGTTTCAGATTAAACTTCCGAGTACTTCTGCCTATACCATTTTTGTTGATATTAAATAATATCTTTCCTCACATGACATGTTCTTAATAGGCAGTAACACCCATATGGTTTGTTGTGAATTAGGTTGCTAAATGTGTTAGGACTGCTGGGAAGTACAGAGGAGAAATATAAATAGATTAAAACAAAAGAAAAATAACATATGCTCACTCAAGCTTTCAGCACATAACAAGGACAAAAGAATTCTAAAACAGAGGAGAGAAAAAAGAAAAAAGAAAAACAAACACCAAACCTTGACAGGTTGCTAGTCCAAGAATGGCTGTATTCACATCAACTACAAAGAAATCCCATGTGATTCTGAATTTCTTCTGCTCCCTCACACTAGGATTAGAGCAGAGACAGCTCATCTCCCCTCACAGCAAGCTACATGTTACCTGTGGAGTCAAATACAATCGGCTGGCAGTTTCTGTTGGAATTCCAGTTACATTTGAGCACCTGGCCTCCTTCTACAATGTTGTGCTGGGTAGTGTTTGCTTTCGGAGCTCCCACCAGAAGAAATACCCTGCAGTAAAAAGAAATAAAACAAAAGTTTCGACACCCAAGGCATACACGTTGTTACTTTAAAACACCTGAAGAGTTACTAAATCAAAAGCCTTGCTCAGCCAACTTTAAATCAGACAAGAAGAACTTTGAGTTTCAGAGAAATTCGTATTAGGATTCAGGACTTGGGCCCTTTTTTTCTGTAAGCAAAAGCTGCCAAACAAACAAACCCCACCAACATTTACCAAAATAAGAGAAAAATAAATTATTCTGTCCTACTTAAAATGACATTTAAAAACAAGATAAACACTTCTATAATCGGGATTTTTCTTTTTTTCCTTTTCAAATATACATATGTACTCAGCGGAACAGGAAATCATGTATTTCTGTAATGTAAAAAAAGTAATTGTCTGGCATCGTTTCTGGTTAATTTTGTGCATAAGAGTAATTCAAGGAACTCAGTTAAAAATGGAAACAATGTATAAACAAAACAGCAGTGCTTCTGAGCTCAGAAGCTACAAACTGGTGAGTCAGCCTAGTACTAGGCAAACACTTTTAAAAATAATCTCCAAGTACCCAAGTGATGGTCAAGCACAGGTTTGTACATTAATATATCTTTACTGAAATTCATTACACAGTAATCATCTCTTATTAAAATCTGTTGTGCTTTTATAAATCTCTGCTTATATTAATATGTTACATGCATTCCAAGCAGGAACTGTTGAAGAGATTATGCCTGTGAGGTGGTAAAATTCACAAGTTGCCAAGTAAGCAACAGACCGAAAAAACACCAAACAAGGCTCCTAGCATCTTCCAACAGGCTATTAACATCTTCCAGGGACTGTGACACCTCCAAAATATACTGGACTCATCGGCACTTTCCTGAGGGTAGTAAATTTGAAGTACAGACAAAGACATAGAGAAGATATAAAACTAAATACTTCATCAGCATCTGCTCTGTTGCTTCCATTTAGACTGTTTAAGATAGAAACTCGCTTGTAAGCACAAGTCTTACAATCAGGCACTATGGTTATTTAGTTTTGAAATTGCTGAATGCTGAACAAGCTGCAAGACTGGTTGAAGAGAATGTTTACAGGAAGGCAGATCCAGGCTTACCAAACTTGCTCTGGTTTTCACAGTCATCTCCCAGACTTCACTTTAGTACAGAGCTAAGTTTATATTTCTTAACATGTAAATATCTGGTATAAACAGGTGGTATCTCATCAAAGCTCAATTCATCAGCAGACCAACAGAAGAGCTAGTTCTCAACCATGCAATTTTTCAGAAGCTTAAAAATTTCCTGGTGTGAACCTGAATAGAAAATCCAGGTTAGTTGGCAATCCATTTGTCTTCCTTAGTTGCCATTCAAGATTTCAAGAAGAATTTGAAATGCTTTAATCAACTTAAAATGTTCTCTCTGGGCATAACAGAAATGCTTAAAAATAAGCATCATAATGCCAAGTAAAAAAACACAGTCATTATTATAATTGCAATCTATTAAACAAGTGGTAGCTTGCCTTCCGCTTTACTCTTACATCACTAGCTTTTGATAAGCCCCCCAAACTAAATATTTGTTAAAAAAAAAAAAAAATCATTCCTATTCTAATCATGTACTTTAACACTTTCTTACAATAATCTTTGATATGAGGTTTATTAAAAAGATTACCAACAAATAAATCAGTATGTGACTCCACAAAGGTTTAGACACTGCTTCTCCCAAAGCAAAAAAAAAAAATCAAGTATTTTTCTCATCACAGAACAAATGAACAGATTGTGGTAGGTCTTATAATAACATACAAATTAGAGACAGAGAAGCTGCCTCTAGTCCACGTGTTTTGTGAAAGGAGCAACAGAGGGAAAACTGTTGTTTCCATAGGAATACACCAGCTATGATTTGATATTGTGCACTTCCACATGATGCGGCACAATGCTGCAGATGAAACTGGGAGTGCATTGACAGCTTCGGTCAACATGCTTACAGCAATAATCACTCACCAGTGCTTTGCCATGGGCCAATAAACTGGTATTTCCATGTACTTATAAAATGGAAGGCAGACTGTCAAATGCAATTCGTTTAAACCATGTCATGTATGAGAAACCTTTTCTAGTTTTTATAAGGTTATGTTCATCAACTTTGTATTATATGCCCTCTACCAGGCATCACATAAGCACCCTGATACAAGACTACTGGAGCAGGGCTTTAATACTGGACTCCTAAATATGCTTTATTTTGGTATCCAGCAGGTCAAAATACACTATGAAACAGCTGCTTGAGCATTCAGGAACTAGTAACTCTCCTTTGTTATCAAGCTAGTCAATCCAAGTAGCTTTAGCTCAACTAAATTCACGCAATCTCTAGTACTCATATGGAGAAAAAGCGACAAATACAATTTCACCTAATACCATTAGAGCCTGTTTCTGTAAAATTTGCAAAGCTACTTTGTTCCAATTATGAGCTTAAATTTAAGCACCAGGGGGTGCAACACCAGGAGTTCACTTAGCAGATACACAGTAACTTCTAATTACACAAAAAAAAAAAAAAAAAAAAAAAAAAAAGAGAGAGAAAAACATTCCTTCAAAGACATAAAGGAGTCTTCCATGCTGCCTGAAAACCACTAGTGTTCCAAGTTACTAAAAGAAAAAAGCCATCAGTGTTTTATTTTACAGCCATGCACTTTGAGATCACTAGGTATTACAAAAATAATTGAAAGGTTCCAAACAGTGATTCCAATTACAGTTACTTCACATAGGTACTTATCAGAAAGCAAGGAAGAAAGTTTACCACCCACATTTACCAGTCTCCTGATAACTTTTTGCAGCCACACATGCCAGCTTAGAAATAAAGGGAGAGACACAAATAGAATATTTTTCTTAAGTACCAAGACTTAAATAGGATTAAGACAGCACAGAAAGATGTTGCAACACATGCAAGTCAAGACAGGATGACTTCTAATATTGTAGGCAATAAAGAAATGCAAATAAAGCTAGGCTGATATATTGCATAAAGGCTTGCTCAATAGCTATAAAATTTGTTCATAAGGTTTTATGACTTAGAGAATTCCCCACAGCATGACAGAAGCTAGCAGCCTTTTCAGCTTTAAGATAGGAGAGGAGGGGGAAAAGTGACAAAAGCTGGATCTTAATGTAGCCCACACTTGAGAAATGCAGACTATGCAACACCATGACTTTGAAGTTAGTGCCACAACTATTCAAAAGTCTGAAATACACCAGCCTCTGCTCAGTTGTCATGTAATACGAAATGGGAACATATTCAGAAAGCAGATGCAGAGTGTTTACATGGAACTTCTTTTCCAGAGTCAGCAACAGCTTCGTGACCTGCACAGACACAATGCAACCCATACGAGGCACTTCTGCAAAGAGCAGTCAAAAAAGAGGACAGAGGAAATTCTGAGATTTCAGTGGGACAAAGCCCATGAGATATAATGAAGCAAAATGCCATACCTTCATCTTTCTACACGCTATTTATCACCACTGGTAGCTGCATAAGCCACGGACTGGTAAGGCTATTCAGAAAACCTAGCAGTGCAGTTTGTGCCACGTTAGGGAGCCTGCTTCCCAGTGAGAGGGCCTCAGCAGGCAGAGCCACTCCAGACCGGGAGCAGATGGAGCTGAGCTGGGGGTGGCGTGGCTCTGCCCAGCAGTGCCAGTGGCTGTGCACACCAGTGCCAGGGTCCTGCCACAGAGACCCCATTTTGTGTGGGCCACCACGGGCACTGGAGCTGCTAGCCCAGAGGGGACAGGCACAGCTCAGCATAGCTCGTTCATGAAATCATCACAACTGTATCATGAAATCACAGAACGGTTTGAGTTGGAAGGGACCTTAAAGCTCATCCACTTCCAACCCTCTGCTACGGGCAGGGACACCTCCCACTAGACCAGTCTGCTCCAAGCCCCGTCCAACTTGGCCTTGAACACTGCCAGGGATGGAGCAGCCACAGCTTCTCTGGGCACCCTGTGCCAGCACCTCACCACCCTCACAGGGAAGAACTTCTACCTCATATATCACCTAAGTCTCCCCCCTGTCAATTTAAAATCATTCTCCCTTGTCCTGTCACTGCATGCCCCTGTAAAAAGCCCCTCTCCCGGTTTCTTGTTGGCCCCTTCAGGAACCAGGAGCTGCTCTAAGGTCTCCCCGAAGCCAGGGGAGCCTTCTCCAGGCCAAACAAGCCCAGCTTTCTCAGCCTGTCTCCATAGCCGAGGTGCTCCAGCCTGCTGATCAGCTGCGTTCGGCACGGGGCCCGAGCGAACGTCTCCCATCAATGAACCGCTCCGAATCTCTTCCGAGAACTGCCCAGGCGACATCTCTGCCGTGCGAGCTATAAGGGAGCAGCCCGGCCGCTGACACGGGGACGGCAGCAACCCCGCCAGAGGAGAGAATAGAAGAAAGGAAGGAAAGGAGCCGCAGGGCCAGGGCCCTCTACTCCCGGGGAGCGGCAGCCCCGACAGAGGCCGGCCGGTAGCGCGTCGGTGGGCAGAAGAGGGCGGGCACTTACGAGGACGGGTCGGGAGCGAAGAAGTCCACGGCGAAGCCGAAGTAGCTGCCCTGCGGACCCGAGTACACGGCCGGGCGCTCCACGTCCAGGTTGAAGGCGCCGCCGGGGACCAGCGCGCCGCCCAGCAGTGCTAGCAGCCGCAGCCACAGCCACGGCCCCGCCATGGCCCCACCCGGCAGGAACGAAGCGAAGTGACGGAGGATACGGAGGGGCCGCGCGTTTCCCGCGATCGGCGGCGGCGCGGAGAGGGAAATCACTTCCTCTCGCCCTACGCCCAGGTCCCTTTTCTGCGCGGGACGGGAGAGGCAGGAAGGAGAAGCGGCATCATGTGGTGCCGGAGGCGGGACTTGCCGTGCGCCGCACCGGGCCCGGCCAGGCTGTAGCGCCACTCACTCTCGCCCTTCCTCACTGCCTGCTGCTGGCACGGCCGGGTCTAGCTGTAGGAGCGCCGGTGCCCAGCCAGGGAGAGGCTCTACCCCGCTCCGCTGCGACTGGAGCCACAGGCGGCTGCGGTTCAGATGGACGGGAGGGAAAGCACCCGAGCCCTAAGCAGTTTGTGCTGGATCCCAAGGCCAGAGAAGCACTAAAAGCAAGAAGAGGAGACGGTATGCATAGTTCGTCTTAAAACTTCATCCTTGGTAAAACCTTCTCAGTAAAGCCTTTCTTGCCAAGTCTTGAAACAACCTCTGTTGTGAAAAGAGTGAAATAAGTGTGGACTCATCATTGAGGAAAAAAACCATCGTTTTTCAAATTAATGGAATAGTAAACGGAGTAGTTTAAAGTCACACGGTCCCCACAGAGCCCCGCAGCATGAAGTATTCCTGAAGTTTTGACACAATTGGCTTAATTCAATAGATACAAAGTAGCATATTGAAACTTTGAACTAGGTGCCTTTAACATTGCCTGTTTTCATTTTAATGAATTGTTCCTTCAAAGAACCCAAGGACCTTTTTTTTCTGAAAAAAAAAAAGGGGGGGGGGGGCATTTTTCATCACTTAAGGAATCACATATCAGAGTACCAGTTTCCTGTTTTCTCTTGGAGTGCAAATTTACAGTCACTGTTGGGTTTGGTTTGATCTTTCTTTTAATAATGTCTGATCAGCCTACATTCACTGATACCATGGTATTTAGGCTTGCAAGAACAAATGTGTCATGTATAATTTATCCTAAGGGAAAGGACTGAACATTAATACTGGGTGATCGTTTCAATTTCTTTCTAAATACATACAGGAATTTCCTTAAATTAAAAATAACTTCAACACTTATATCTTAATACATCCAGATTTCATATTAACAGGCAAGATAAATTAAGTAGCCTTGAAGTCAACAGAAAATATAATAGAGAAAGAGGGTGAGTGATGGCAATATTTTAAAAGCCAGATGTAAAATATGTAAACTAGGTTGTACACCATGGATTCTTGACAAGCCTACTGACACTTACCTACTGTTAAAAGGCTTGGGTTTTCTTACAAGTTCATTTGGAAAGATTACCCATACACGGAAAAAAAAGAAAACAAGTATGGAAAGAGAGAGAGGGGAATTCACAATAAATTGTTCTCACTGAAAAGGGGCTGCAAGTTCAGTTTTTATGTATAAAATGCTTTAGATCTTGTTTCTTCCCCACCTAGAAATACACACATCACCTCAAAACTTGCACAACCCTGCAGTGCTGCTGCTCCACTGTAAGCAATAATATTTTTCAAATTTATGCTTAAAAAATAAGTACATTTTAAATGTAGGTTTTTCAGCAATCTCATGCTTTTAACACAAAGGGAGAACCCCCAAATGTTTCCATTTACTCATTCTCATAATTTTCCTGTCCTCAGTAAAGTATATCACAGCTTGACAAATAGCAGCACACAGTGGTTTGTTCAAGTAAATCTGTGGCAGAGCCAGAAAGAACCACCAGGTAATTCTGTGCTCCAGTCACTTGTTCTTGATACCAAGCAATAATAATAATTCCTTAAGGAAGCCATCTTAAGGATTCTTATTCTATCAAGAAACAGAGGACTTCTTATACCTAGATTTGATATGTGTTGCTAATTTTCCTGACTTGGCCACCTCTTCATAGATAAAAATAAATAAATAAATCATTAAGGTGAATTTTTATAGTTATTTACTGACTTTTCTTGCAACTGTTGTACTACAGACCCGATCAATGCAAAACTGTAGATGAGTTAGTACGTTACTAAATTCTAGCAAGTAGGACAATAAACTAGAGTGGTTTATATGTACTTTGATTAATAAGTCAGAAATTTAGGGAAAAGGAAGATTTTTTCTTGATTATACAACTTCACAACATTACACAAATAGTGAGGGATACATTATTTTTAAGGTATCAGAATTGCATTACCAAATAATAACTTCTGGGTTTCTAAGGATTGGCTGTGTGTAGCACTACTACTTGTTGTCAGCAATTGCTAAATAACAGGTCAGAGGAATGATTCCGGTTTTATACAGTCAGGGATTACTCATCCCCAGGGAAGTCTATCTTCAAACCATTTCCTCTCTTCAAGAAGATAACTGCTTTTTCAACAGCTGTTTTGTGCATATCTGTTCTTTCCATCATTTGACCCAAGGTGAAGCTGCCTGTTTTTTTCTGACTCAGCACTCTACTCCACATTCCCACTGATTTTAGTCATCAGTCGCAAGCGGAAGCAGTGGCGTTGCTGCTGTCTAGCCTTAATGCAGAACACAGTCAGAGTCAGTCTAGGCAACCAGGAAGCATAGGCACCCTATAGCATACCCTACATGGTATCATACCAAATGAAGTGCGCCAGTTTGGGATTACACTTCTAATCAAAGTAAATCTTGCTGTAAAAGAAGGAAAGTATTTTCTGTTGCAAAAGAGATCAAGTGATTGATTCCATTGCTTGCATTGAACTACTATGTCCAGCAGAATCACGGATGGAAGAATGAAAGCCTAAACCAGACTTTGCAGTTAACTTGAAGCAGGAAACACCCAGTGAAGATATGATTTTTCTTTACTAGCTTGTTTAGTTCTCAGCATGACTAAAATAAACAGCTACTGAGATCATATTACAGAATGTAAACATATGAACTCTATGTTTCTAAAATATAGAAATACTCTCCCATCATCTCAAGTTTTCAATTTACAGGCTACTGATTAAGATATCCAGTGGTGAAAATTAACCACTAAGAAGTGGGCAGCAGGCACTTTTAACAAGGCACCAAATTTTTTCTTTGCATTTATAATTGAATACAATTATTTTGCAATTCTTTGAGGCCAAAAAAACCTGCTTTCCATTATTCAGTAGATGAAACTAGTTTCCTGTTACAAGTTGTTAGTCTTGTTAGTTTTTACTCATACAGGTAGTTAGTAACACATCCAAATAAAAACTGCAAGATGCAAAACACTTAGCACTTCTGCTAGACATGTACTCAATTGTTTTACTGCTCCTAAATCTCTGGCCTGTAACATGGATGTAGTATTTCAGAATATTTTGCTTTACAATTATGCCTCCTTTTGACATTACGCTCATCAGCAAGAAGTGGACAAAATCCTATAATTTGCTAGATATTGCAGATGCACAAGCCACCATGGTCCTACTTGCAAAGGCGCAGCAAGACATCCAGCATACAAGCGATAAGCTTCAGCCTCTTAGGGGATACAGTGCTTTACAGTACCAGTGGTGTTACTATCTGGAGCAAATAAAGGATTACCACTGATTTGTTAATGATTACTGCTATTAGTCTCCCAGAAAAGCCTTTGTCAACGTGAAAGTTTTAGTACGTATTTTGCTCTTGTGACATCCAGACACTTGAACTTTTAAGGAGGCTTAGCTGCCCCAAACTTTTTAAGAACTGACTTGGTTTTTAAGAAGGTCATATAAAGCAAGCCTAACTTGTCCAAAAAGATGGACTTTACATGTTATTTTGGTTTGGTCAGTTGATGCCTTTTATTTCTATTTTAATATTAATCTTTCATATTAATTTTCTTTATAATATTAAATCTAAAAAATATGGAAGCATTATTGGGTGAGAATCACAAAGAAACCACTACAGCAATGTTGTAAGCTTGATTTGCCTTATTGCCCCTATGAGCAATTCACCACATCAACAAAATCTCATTTTTTTTTTTTTTTGCAAAAGCTTTCTTTAGCCTAGGGCTATAGGAGTATGTTTTCTTTAGGACAATGGCTAAACTTTAAAATCAGGTTCTAGCTGGTGAGCAACTTTCAGTGGTGTTTGAAATCTTCCAGTTCAAAAGCAAGTGAAGCATATCAGGATTTTTCCTGATTTTTTCAGCACCGATAGCTGTATTCAGTCTTAGTCAGTGTCTTTCCACAAGCCCTTTTTTGTGTTTTATAGACTGCTTGTTACTCACCAGTTTGTTTTTTGGTTTTTGATTTTTTTTACACTACATCTTTAGAGCATCAAATACAGGGATAACTTTTCTTGATTTACAAAAGGATTCATATTTCTCTAGTCTGACAAGGTGAGTCACTATAAATCATACGTGTGTGTGTCAGGTTTTGCTTCACAGAGCACTTCTGCAGATCTAGTAAATATATCCAGATGTTGCTCAGTAACACCCCCAGAGACCTAAATATTTTTTAAATATATTTTTAAACATCTTACTCTAGAGAAAAGAATCAACAGGAAATAATATAAAAGAAGAAACAGATCAGAAAAAAAACCTCCTGACCTCTGTAATATTCTCTGCAAAATCTCAGTAAAAATGCATATACAAGATGTAACAGAGGCACAAAAAGCTAAATACCACCCTGTTCCATTGTGGGAACACCAGCCCAGAGGGGAAAGCCTGGGAAGTCACCACACCTACCTCCCAAACCATGGTAAAGGAGTTTTCAGGAGACAGGCAGGGAGAACCTGGGGTCTCATGTCTTCCAGTGGGAAAGGTCTTGGCAGAGCTATCTAGAAGGGGATAGGGAGAATTTGCTAATCTAGAGAAGATAACAGAGTTGGCTTTCTGCCTCAAGTAGAAAAACAAATGAAACATTGAAATCCCAGTCTTGCTTTGCTTTTCCATCTCACATGGAGTATCCGTGTTGTTTACAGAAGTGTTGCTTTATTTCTGCTTCTCCTACCCTACTGAAATGGCTAACCTTGCATAGCACCTATGTAACCCACTAGATGAAAATGCTCCAGCTCCCTCTGAGTTACTACTGCAGTACCAGCTCCTTTAAAGGCTGATACCATCAGACAGAACCACACTTAGACCTTTTGCCACATCCTAATCTACCCTTCTGCTTTTATCCTGCAGAGCCAGTAAATACATAGCAGGCACAATCAACACGAGTGCTAATATTATGCTTGGTTAAGTAAAGAACCATCCTTACCTTCATGGCTCTCTCCTCCACCTTTTTCTACCTTTTGAGAGAAGGTAAATCACTTGCTGTA